GGGGAATGGCCTTGCATCTATCATTAAAAAGGACATTTCAAGAGCTATCTCGAAGTACAATGTTGGTCTCATATAGGATAATTTTTATGAGAGCAGATAATTGAATTTTGGCTTATATTTGCACATCTGCTAGTTAAGTTTTTTAAATATTAGGATTTTCCATTCCAATTTATTACAAAATGAAAATGTCAGTGGGTGTGAGTAAAAGAGAAATGGTTAAGAAAGTTCATTAGACTTAACTTCAATGTTAGTAATTTTTTAACATAAGCCTTTTGAGATATTAAGAAAAAATAAAAACAAGATCCTATTGTATGGAAAAATCATTAGCATATAAACAAAGATAAATTTTACTTAAAGCTCTGAAATAAAATTTCAAGCATAAATAAGCAAAAATTTTAAGATATGTGATTTATATATGTTTATTAAATTAGAAGTTTAAATAGGTTTAGGATAGAAGATTCTCTGACAACACAGAAAACAAAATCAAAATTATGTTTAAGAAAAATATTTTTAAAGAAATTTTAGTAATTTGATAACCTCCTTAATAAAACCCAAACCTGTGGTCATCAAGTCAGTCCTACATCAGAGTGACCTTATAGGACTGCGTAGAATGCCCCATAAGGTTTCCAAGGTTATAATCTCCATAGACGCCAACTACCATGCTTCTCAAAGTATCGACTTTTCAGTTACCTGCCTAGAATATAACTACTCTGCTTCTGTTAGGTAGCTAGGTTAGGGACAGGGGATAGTTCCTCCCATGCATGCAAAGGCCCCCATAGAGGAAGTTGGAAAGAAATTTGGCACCCTATTAGACACCCATGGGAAGACCCAAACTGAGCATGCACAAACTAAGACCCCGTAGCACCCACCACCCACCCCAGGGGGATGATCAACAGAAACTTGGGTGAAGGGAGACAGTGGACATTGTGAGATATGAAAATTAAAGTAATTTCTAAATTATCACGAAGGTGGGAGGGTAGGGGAGGGAGAGGAAAAAAAGAGGAACTGATACCAAGGGCTCAAATAGAAAGAAAATGTTTGGAAATGATTATGGCAATATATGTACAAATGTGGTTGATAACAATAGATGTATGGATAGTTATAAGAGCTGTAAGAGCCCCCAATAAAGTGAGTTATTAAAATAAAAATAAATTGAATGATAAATTTTTAAAAATGAATACAAGAAACAAAAAGGGATAAACTAACTTGCGGAAAGTCAAATAGCTAGTATAACAGTTGTGGTTAGTTTTGAGGGACCTAAATCCATTTTTGAGTCCCTACACGGATTCAGCCTCCATTGGAAACTTTCTGGTTATTAATTTTAGCCCTCAGATAGAGAGTGTTTTAAAGTAGATTTCTACTATTTCCCTGAGCCAGCCAAGGAAGGGCAGCCTTGCCTGGGCATGCCCTTAATGGAAGCTCGGGTGCTAAGGCCCATAGTCATGAATTGTACCTTCACTGAGTTGGTCGGAGGGGCCTGAAGCAATCTTATAAGCTTTTCTATCTGCAGTAATATACGTATTCAGTCAGGGTCCCTTTCCTCATTTTGTAGCCCTGCCTGAAATTGTGATGAATTGATATATAGCCAATCATAATTTTGTGACGATTTCCTTTGTTCTCCATGTCCTGTTTAAGTGGCTCTATGTCTGTGAATCATCATGACACCATTATGACCTTGATGGTCTGATTTGTCTTTTCTTTGTCCTCTTTAAGACAATACATGTCTGTAAATTATATATTATTCTAGGGTCTCTTATTTTCCTACAACACTCTAGTTAGCAGTGGCCATTCCAAAGGCTAGATGTTTATATTTCGTATAAGACAACATGTTCATAAAAACTGGGATCAATTCATTTTGTTCTTCACTAGCACTTAGAATGTGTTTAATAGAGATCAGTGAACTAAAGCATCATTTCTTTGCAGTAAAGTTAAGTGTTTAAATCTTTAAAAAATTGTAACTACTTTTGAAAATGATGATGACAACATATACAAATAAGCTATAAGAGCCACCGATAAAAATGGTTTTTTTTAATTGTAAACACATAGACAATTTTAATTAGGAGTAAAATTACTAATATATAATATATATATTCCTAATGTTTTTTGGTGAAAGCCAACAGGAGAACATGTACTTTTTTAAACCCAGGTATTATTTTGGTTCCTTAAAAAATAAATTTTTATTACGAATTTGTATTTTAAATTAATTTATAATTACAATTTAAATTAGTAAATTTTCAAGCAATACCAAGGTTCCTTCCCAATTTGAGCTCTGGTTTCTCAAATTTACTGATTCTGCAACTAGGGTATTATTTTGAATTATATTTTTCTCCTACTTCCACTTGGTATTTCAAAATTACCTCAAGAGGTATCTGCAATTTTTTTTTTTAATTTCCCTTTTCCAAAGCACAGTTAGCTACTTAAAGGTAAGAAGCCCTGAGAACTGAGACACTGAACTACCGTTTTTCAGCAGCCATCTAGCAGGGAAGGAACAAAGCCCTTATGGAGAAGCACACCAGCATGTGCAATCATGAGGTGTCAATCAGAAGAGGCATCAGAAGTTCAAAAACAAGCAACCAAATCGATGTGAAGAGGCGTGGATGTAGTAGAGACCCCAAACCCACCTGTTATCCAAATCTGAAGGAGGGAATGATATCAGAGCCCATTTTCAAAAGCCTATGGATGACAATGGAAGCCAAAATCCATTTGCAGGGTCCCAGTGTGAATTAAGCCTCAGGGAATAACTGGACAGCCCCCCTCAGAAGGACCCCATGGAAGGGATGATGATAAATCCTGGGTGCAGTATAGCAATGATGAACTACGTAACTATCCTCTAGTTCTTTAATATTTCCTCTCCTTACTATTATGGTTTTTGTTTTACCTAATTAATCTTGTTAGATTTGTAAATGTTCATTTGTATAATTAAAATCGTTGGATACATGAAAGCCAATATAGATAACCCTTCAGAAACAGTAACAGGAGTAATGGTTCCCTGAGGATACTGGAAGAGGGGCAGCGGGGAGCTGATAGCATTGATGACTATTTAACCCCACTCAAGGGGAACAAGCAACAGAATTGTATGTGAATGAATATTTTGGATGGTGTAAGATATGGTAAAAAGAATTAAATAATTTAATAAGGGTTCCTGGCAGGTAGGGTGCGAGAAAGGAGGGGATATCAAGGAGTTCAAGAACAAATGTTTTGAAAATGATTGTAGTGGCAATTGTACAGCAATGCTTGATGTGATTGAACCAGGGAATGTTATGATAGCTGTAAGAGCTCCCAATAAAATGATTTTTTAAAATAATTTAAAAAGCAAAAGAAAGAATTAACTGACATGTGGCAGAGCCCTCTTCAGGCTGCTTCCCTTCTAGGTCCCTGACTGAGAGGGAGAGAGAATTCAGGAAGGTTTTGATACAGGGAAAGTCAGTACTAGAAATGAAATATAATTTAAGATTTAGTTTGTTAAAAGTCCAAAATTTAACAGTCCCCTCCCTCTCAGTAAAAATTCCTTTTGAGCTTAATCAGCAGGGAGATCCAATTTTGGAAGGAGGCTAACAAGGTCAGTTAGATAAGTAGCCAGACTGGAAACACCTCACTATGGATAAAGAAAGGCACAGGAAGCTTCAGAAGATGGTGATCTAATGGCCCCTGACAAAAGGTAGGTGTAGATGATTGCCTGATGATCATTGTAGAACCTGCCTTCTTAGAGTTTCAATAGCATTTAGTGACATTGTAAAAATCTCCTCCCTTAACCATTTTTAACAGCCTGTTGCTTACATACTAACTTGTAGGGTCAGGACTGAACTGTGAAGCAGCTCAGAGGAGAAACCTGGCAAGTTTCCGTCTGCAAGTGCTTGCAGGAATAAACTCAGAAATTCTTGAATCAACTTGGTCTCTGTTTTTGGCTACAATGACAGGCTCTCCCAGATAACTTTCAGTTGTACAACAGGCTCAGGCTATTTTTTCACTAACCTAGCATAGGACAGCGGGAGAAATCTTTGGCTTTTTACTCCCATTGAGTTACAGCCTCCGAAACCCTCTAGGGTCCTGCTACCCTTTCTTTTGAGGTTGCTGTGAGTCAGCATTGACTTGATGGCAGTGCGTAGTGAGCGCAGGAGAGGCTCACATTCAGATGAGGTTAACAAAAAGACTTTGCTTCCAAAACTGCTCAGTAGTCTTGAGATTTGTACTTGCAATTCTGTAAATAGTCCTTTTGCATATATTTTGTACGTACATGTTGTGTGTATGTGTATTATTTTTGTACATGTTTCCATGCATTCCTTTTAACACACACCTTTAGTTTCAACCCACTGGGTGTACGGTAGGGGGAACACACCAGCTTAAAAAAAACTTGTTTAAAAATAAGTCAGAAAATTAGAAAAGAACCAAAGTAGCTCAACTCATTTTTAAAATAAATTAAACAAAATACGAACATTGAGAGCAGGATCAATTGATCAGAGAAATCTTTACAAGACGTCCCACCGAAAAATAACTTCAATTCTGCATCTTTGTGAAATCAAGACGACTTTTTAAAAACTATTCTATTTTTAAAAAGCCGGGGCAGAATCACTGTAAAACTAAGCTGTGAGGTACAAAACCTCCAAGAACGATCTGGAATGAAATCTCAGCCAATCCCGTTTGTGGCAAAGAACAGAAAGGGACTTGACAGCGTTGGGGTGTGCGGAAGTCTTGAGTTCTGCCTCCTCGTGAATGGAGAGACTTCAGTATATTCTCCAATGAGAGTCGCTTAGGGGTGGGAGGGCGTGGCCTGGAGGAGGGCGCTGGTGGCCGGAGAGTGGAAGGTGCATGCTGATTGGCCAGGACTCTCAGGGAGACGGACCAATCGTCTTGGTAACGCGGAGGCCATCCATCACAAGGAGTACGCCAATCAGCAGCAAGACGAGGGCCACCCGCGGGACCGCCCCGCCCTTCAATCCATCACTCAGGGAGTGAGGCGTGGCCGCACCAGCGCGAGTTCGCCTGACGGAGGGCAGGTTCTTCTCGGCGGCGCTGCGGAGACCTCCGCTCAGGACCGCTCCCCTTCCCCGGGCCGCTCCCCTCGTGCCCGCTAGTCCCCTCGCCTCGTGGGCCCTTCGGACTTGATACCGTGGGGTGAGGCGCGAGCAGGCCCGGGGAGGGTAGTTACCGCTGAGGAGCCGCAGTCGCGATCACGGTGAGGTTCAAGTGCGGAGTCAATTTCGGGGTGCGGCAGAGAGCAGGGTGGTGGGCGCGAGGTGAGGGGGAATCGTGGCCCGCCCAGTGCTTGCTCCGTTGACTTGCTGCTGAGAGCACAAGCCCGGGCTAGCCCGAGTGGTGGGCGGGGCCATCAAGTCAGAGCCCGCCCAGCCCCCGGGGCTAATAGTTTTGCTCCGAAAGTTCCTTTCTGGTTGGTGCTTTAGCTGTGCCTCCTTCCATGCTTAACTCTGCCTTCCTGTTGGTGAGGGAGGGATGGGTCCTAGTCGTACCCAGCGCCTAGCCCGTGCCAGACACATACGAGATATGGAATGCATGTTCCTAAATCAGTGAGATTCCCAGGCTCATCTTGTGGACTGAGCCCACCGTACCACGGGCTACCACCCTTTAAACTTCAGGAAGCACTAGTAAAAGTGAACCATTACGGAGCTAAACGGTGTAGGAATCCACATCTCTAATCTTCACAAACACTAAGGTAGGTATTATTACCCTCATTTCACAGATGTAAAGGTAAGCTCATTTGTATCAGCCAGTGGCTGAGTATGTTAAACGCATTGGGCTGTTAAAAAAGATGACGCTCTCTACTCCTGTAAAGATTTACACGCTCAGAAATCCATAGCTCATAGGTGCATTTCTTTGCTCTCTAGAGGCAGGAGACAGATTCAACTTGATGGCAGTCACTTTTATATGGTGAATTATTTACCGTAGTTTTGTGTAATGCACAGAAGTCTATACGATGGCGCTCAGGAAAGCATTTGAACAGTTCAGGTTGTCAAACAGTATATACTGCCATTGGATTTCAAAGTTCTTGGCATCTTGTTTTATAACAGTCTGTAATAGTTATGTATCGACAACGAATGGTTCGAACAAGTCTTTCTTGAAAGATTTACAATTCAGAAAAAAATAATTTTTTAAGACATGATTTCATCCAGGATTTTTCAGTTTATGGTGAGTGAGGTCTGGTATGCATGAGGTTCACAAGCCCCATGGTGGGAAGATTTAATATATAGTACTGCTTGGCATGATACTAGGAGAGCAAGAAGGGCTATTCTTACACTCTTTTCTGGGATCCGTTCTATTTATAGATGATAGAGGTGCTGACAACTGCCACTCAAAAACTGCTCCCCCAGCTGAATGCCTTGTTGGAACTGGAGTCTAGATGTCAGCCAAAGCTCTGTGGCTTGAGACTCATCGAATCTGCTCATGACAATGGCCTCAGAATGACTGCAAGACTACGGGACTTTGAAGTAAAAGATCTTCTGAGTCTAACTCAGTTCTTTGGCTTTGACACAGAAACATTTTCTCTTGCTGTCAATTTACTGGACAGATTTCTGTCCAAATTGAAGGTATGTGTACTCTGAATATTTACTTTTGCCCATTGTCTATTTTTACCTTTTGTATGCTTTTGACTGTTATTCACAGTGTGACGCTTTTCAGCAAGTAGCTGAAACATGTTAATCTTGTGTGGTACAGCACTGATGAATATTCTTTGTGATAAGTCAAGGGTATTGCATCATTTGTTAGACACATTTTTTAAATTAAAAGTAAGGCTAGTATAAAATATTTCTTCTTTCCCAGTAGAATTGGCTGTTTCTAAAATAGAGGTTAAGTGTTTTCATTTATTTGTTGTAGTTTCAAAGCAACTTGTTAGAAAGAATTCTAGATTGTGGTTTAAAATTTGAGGAGCATCTTTATCATATATATAAAGTTCTAGGTGTGTTAATCAAGCCTTACTTAGGCTTAACATTTCCAGCATCAATTTGCATACAATGACGAGATTATCTTCTGAAGGAGGAGCACCTATATAATAGTTTCCCTTTATTGGATAAGCAGGATATCTGTATAACTCTCAGACTTTATCTGTTAAAAATAACATCTGTGTAGGGACACCCATGGTCACTAGTGCATAATGAGATAGTGTAACAGTTAGATTGAAACACATCTTTTAGTTCTCAGTACCAAAGACAGTGTATCACAGAAATAACTCAATATTTGTTATTCCTATATGAAGGGATTTCAAAAATAATCCTGTTAAAATCCCATTACCTTTTAATTCCATTTTCCCTTTATATTAGCATTTTGTTCAACATTATGACTCACCAATTCTTTATACAGATACTTATCCATACCTGCACTTGGATCTATAAATGTTACACAAATAATATACAGATGCCCCTCCCATAATCAATCCTAGGATTCTTGGAGGCACAGTGATTAAGTGTTCTACTGCTAACAGTGGTTGGAACCCAACAGCTGCTCTATGGGAAATAGAAGTAGCAATCTGCTTCTGCAAAAATTATAACCTTGCGAGCCCTGTGTTACCCTGCAGTGTCACTGTGAGTTGGAATTGATTCACTGAAGCCAGATTTTATGGGTTGTATGAGAATAAGAGAGTTAAACTGGTGACTATAAAAATACAAGGCACGGTGAGAAATAAAAAGATATAATTAGGAGTCCTGGTGGTGTATTGGATCTGGGCCGCTAACCACAACATCTGCAGTTAGAAACCACCAGCTGGTCCTCAAGAGAAAGATGAGGCTTTCTGCTTCTGTAAAGATTTGTAGCCTGGGAGACCCACAGGGGGCAGTTCTGCTCTGTCCTATAGGGTCACTGAGTTAGAATTGACAGAAGTTGAGTAAATGAAAAAGACAAAAATCGTGTCTCTAAAGAATTATAACTATATTGCTGAATGGATTCCAATAAGTAAACAGTAATAAAAGATTTATAATAAAAAAAGAGATTTATAGTTTCATTTAAGCTGCAACTTAAAAAGACCAGATAAAACGTTGACTGTGATATATATATATGAGAGAGAGAGGGAGAGATTAGTAATGGATAGTGCTTTAGGCAGAATAAACTGTTATTGCACTTAAAAACTGTTTTCCTTATGTTATTACAATGAAAATAGCCTGGATATTGTGTAACAGCCTGGAGGTTATTTACCCTTTTATGTGACACAAGGAGGTACCCCCCAAAAACCGAATTTTTTTTCAAAACTATGTATTTAAATTTTTTTACAAAACAACCTTATGGCCTTCAAAATACTCTCCATTACACTTATTACATTTGTCAAATCTGTGATTCTCTTGGAAATATTATTCAAAATCATCTGTTCAGATGGCTGACAGCACCTCCCTTGTTTTTTTCCTTCCCCTCTTTTACAATGTCAAATTGCTGTCCTTTCGTGTCCCTCTTCATTCTTGGAAACAAAAAGAAGTGGCACAGAGGGAGGTCAGATGATTAAGGTGCAAGGGGCAAGAGAGGCATGTTGTTTTTTGCCAAAAACTAGCACACTGAGATGGCTGCATGAGCAGATACATTGTTGTGATGGCAAAACCAGTCCCCTGTCTGCTTCAAATGAGACCTTTTTGTCGCACACTGTTACACAATCTTTTGAGAACCTCTTAATAGAAAGCTTGATTAACAGTCTGGTCTGTTGAAACAAACTCCAAATGGAACTCCAAATGCACTATGGTCCATTCGGGAAGTTGGTAGACATCCAGATAGAGGTTTGTCATCAGTCGACATTTCACTTTTTTTGAAACAAGAAAACCATTTGTACACTTGAGTTTTTTCCATAGCACTGTCTTTATAAGCTGTGTTCAACATCACAACAGTTTCTGTGGCATTTTTCCCAAGCAGGAAAAAAAAATCATAACTGCACACTGTTCTCGTAAATCTGCCATCATGAAAAACGAGGTTCCAGCGAAACTGCTTTTATGAAAAAATTAACAGTGACTAGAGAGAACCTTCCCAGGCGATGCCACTGAGTGCACTAACTGCTCGCCCAGCAGGAAAAATGCGTAGTATGAAATTCCTCCTGCCCTACGCAATCCTGGGTTTTTTTGGGGGTATCACCTCGTTCATATGTTTCATTTCCTCACATTTTTTAAAAAAAAATCATTTTATTGGGGGCTTGTACAGCTCTTATAACAATCCATCCATCCATCCATTGTGTCAAGCACATTTGTACATATGTTGCCATCATCATTTTCAAAACATTTTCTTTCTACTTGAGCCCTTGGTATCAGCTCCTCTTTTTCCCCTCCCTCCCCCACCCTCTCACCCCCGTGAACCCTTGCTAATTTATAAATTATTTTTTTATGTCTTATACTGACCAATGTCTCTTTTCACGCCCTTTTCTGTTGTCCACCCCCTGGGAGGGGGTTATATGTACATCATTGTGATCTGTTCCCCCTTTCTCTGCCTACCTTCTCCTTCCCCTCCTGGTATCGCTAGGGTCCTGAGTTCTCCGTCCTGGATTCCCTGTGTCCAGCTCTATCTGTGCCTGCTTCACATAGTCTTTTGATTAGTTAACAGAGTTGGTGAAGTTGCAAGTGTTTACAGTCCTACAGTTCTAACATTAAAAATTGTTCTACAGGGGGGCCAAACATACTGAATTTTCAATCATTATTCAAAAATGGGTTCTAAATGGGATGCTTAGGGTGGACAGGCTACAGCTGAAGTGTGAATAGATCTTAAATCCCTAACGGTTGAAGAGGTACCTTGAAGATACATTGTCCTAATGGTGGGTTTCAGTGATAGATATATTATCCTATGTGTTTTTTAATTGAAGACCTGGGAAAATGATGGTATATATTTTTTAGGTACAACCCAAGCACCTGGGGTGTGTTGGACTGAGCTGCTTCTATTTGGCTGTAAAATCAGTAGAAGAAGAGAGGAATGTCCCATTGGCAAGTGACTTGATCCGTATAAGTCAGTATAGGTTCACGGTTTCAGACTTGATGAGAATGGAAAAGATTGTATTGGAGAAAGTGTGTTGGAAAGTCAAAGCTGCTACTGCCTTTCAGTTTCTGCAACTCTACTATTCACTCATTCAAGAGAACTTACCATTTGAAAGGTATGTGATATTTTAAGTAAAGGAGGTTTGAATATCAGAATGGTGTTTCTGGATGCTTCATAGAATCAATCTCTTGGTAGGATTCCAATCAAGTAAAATGACAGCTGAGACTGCAGATTACTTCTAAGGTCTATTTATCCATAATCTTGTAACTGACCGAATGAGTGGGACTATGCACATAAGGTATTTCTGGCCTATAATGTAAACAAGGTATATACTCAAATGGTGTATATACCATGGTATACTCAAATGGTGGTGGCACCATGCAAATATACAGTATAAATGGAACCCTATTGAGAGAAGTAGTTAGCTTGGCCATTCAGCAGGCATAAAACAAAATCCAGGTCCATGCCAGGGTGTGCCTCAAACCACCAAGAGAAGGAGACTGGAGCAGTACAGGTCCTTTGGACCCAGCTACCTGTGTTGAGAACCTGAACCCAGGGAAACAGAGTTGTAACATAGAAGATGGTGATGTGCAAGATCACACAAAGCAATGGCAGAGGAATGAGACCACAGTGAGACAGCACTGTGGGCACCTTGTGCCAATTCCTCGAACTAGAGCTGAGTGCCTTCAGGCAGGAGAATGGAGTGATTGCATGCTTGTTGGTAGAGCTAGGCTCGCCTTCTCACAAAGCTGAGTCCTTTGGCCTGGGGTTATTGGTGGATCTAAAGAGCTTTGTAATATTTGGCCAGAGCAGAGACCAGGATGAGGGACTTAAGATACCCCTCCCTGCCTGGTCTGAGGGGAGGCTGACCTGATTGAAGAACTCCATGTTGGGGCATTTCTGATCCTACTTTATTTACTTCCCTAGTAAACCCCATCATGTTGAGTCTTGTCTGTAAGTAGTGTGTGACCATTGCAACACATAATCAAATCTAGTATAGAGTACCATGAGTGGGACCTCTGGTGTCAGAATTGGTTTAAACAAGGATGATGTCTATCAGCCCAATGCTTTATCAGCCCAATCAGCATTAGGCTACTGCTGTGATTACTTTCTCCTTGTGACGTTAAATGAAGTAGTCAGCCGATGCCAACCTAGCATTCTGTATATTGCTCTTAGAAGTTAATGTCTCTGATAAGTGTACATAATCTTTGTAAATTACTTCAGTGATTCTCATAAATTTGTCTTGGCTAGATGTGCAATTACCTGCATCAAATTAACTTAATTTTCCTTTTAAAGGAGAAACTGCCTTAATTTTGAAAGACTAGCGGCTCAACTTAAGGCATGCCACTGTAGGATCATATTTTCTAAAGCAAAGGTAAATATTTTGTAAGGATTAAGTCTGCTTATACTTGTTATACCTTTTTTCATATTTGACATTTATTTATAAACTGGTCTCTTTTAGCCTTCTGTGTTGGCATTATCCATCATTGCACTGGAAATCCAAGCGCAGAAGTGTATACGGTTAACAGGAGTAGAATGTCTTCAGAAACATTCCAAGGTATGCCATGGTCATATCCTAAATCCTGTTAACCTCCCTGGCGGTAATCCCGAGCGTGGCTCAGGGGTAAATGTTAAGTGTCAGAAGCAGTAACCCTGAGCCCCACTAGTGATTACACTGCAGAAAAGTCCCTTAACTGCCGCTCCATCCAGCGGTGCTCTCTGTCCAGCGGTGTTCTCTGCGTGCAGTGTCGCCGCACAGGGGCAGAACTGAGCGGGAAATTCAAAACTTTATGTCTGAAAGAGACGCGCGCGCGCGCGCACACACATACACACACACAAACTGATACAGTATAACCTGTGAAGATTACATTGTATCAAAGCATATCACTTTAGTTTTGTCTTTAGATCAGTCTCCAGTGCCCTGCCTGCCCTCTTACTGTCATTTGGAAAAATTTTTGCCTGGAAATTTTTTGTTCATGGCATCAAAAAAGTGTTACTTTAGCACAAAGGGAGTTTTAGACCAGATAAATGACAGCGACAGTGACTTAGAATTACTCGCAGAATTGAGCGATAGCAGTTCAGGGGGAAATTCATCATCCGACAGTGACACTGATCAGATAAGTGACAACAGTGACGATTCCGCACTTGAGCACAGCGATGGGCGAACTTGGTGCTCTATTGTCTGCAGAACGGCTCAGGCAGCTCCCCGAAGATTCCCGTTTACTGGAACACCTGGTATGAAAGTAGATATTGACCACAACAACCCTTTGGCGAACCTACAATTGTTTCTGACCGATGAGGTCATTGAAAAAATTGTTATGGAGACAAACTGGTACAAAGAGCAACTCTGCTTCATAAGTTTTCAAGAAGCAGAAAGTGGGAACCCGTGAGCGAAGATGACATTTGGAAATGTCTGGGTCTAGTAATACTTCAGGGAGTGGTGGGGAAATGCCTGCAGAAATGGTATTGGACCACCAATAAACTACTTGCAACTCCATTTTTTGGCACTGTCAGAATACAGATTTTCCCTGATTATGAAATTTTTTCAATTCACAAACAATGAAGAATTTGGGTACAAAATTACTGACATAATTAGACCGCCAGGGAGGTTAACATTTTAAATAAGAAATGAAATCACGTGGACTATTTCCTGAAGTAAAATGAGAAGTCATGTGGGTTTGAAACTCAACTTTCTTTTTAACAAGGGGACACATGTTAAAGAATGCCATTTATTACTCTAGGAATATAGGCTTATAATTTTGAGTAATTTTAAGTATTTATTTACAGATAAATGGGAGAGATTTGACGGTCTGGCAAGAACTTGTATCCAAGTGTTTAACTGAATATTCATCAAACAAGTGTTCCACACCAAATGTTCAGAAGTTGAAATGGATTGTTTCTGGGCGAACGGCAAGGCAATTGAAGCACAGTTACTATAGGATCGCCCACCTTCCAACAATTCCTGAAACAGTTCCTTAATTGATAAAGTTGGTCATCGTTATTTTATTCTCCATATGGGGGGGG